ATTGCTACCTGTTCAGACTCCATGTGGGGACAGGGTCCCCAAGTTGGGAGTCACTGGGTGAGGAACAATTTTGACTCAGCTCCAAGCATCTGTCCATTGGACACCTGTTCTTCCAAACCAGTGTAAGGCACATCAGTGACAGTCAATTCATCATGCAGATATACTTACTGTACCATCTATAGCCAAGTTTTGAATGATGGCTTTTTTTTTTTTCCCATTTGCAGACCTCTGTTGGGAGGTCCTGTAGAATATATCTGGATAACCAACATATAGGACACAATTCCAGATCCAGGGAAGGAGAAGGATGTGTGGAAGAGTTGACCTCACCTCGGTGAATGAAGGACAGTCTAAGAAAAAGGATTAGGAAGTTGAGATATAGTAATTAGATCTGAAAGAACAGTATATTCTGGTTCTGTGTCTTTTCAAATGCTGGAACAGGAAGAGAAAGGAAAGAAGATCAGAGGTACAGGACTGCCCATGGGATAAAATCCAGGCCCCTAACATGGAATAAATATCTCTGGTATCCGCCCCACCGTCTCATCTTGCACCTGGAGCTCCAGCCGCCCTGAACTATTTTCAGTTCCCAGAACGTGCCTTCTCTTCCATACCTCCATGTCTTTGTATATACTGTGAACTCTCCTGGGAAAGTTCTTTCTGCCTCTTGTCCATATGGAAAACTGCTGAGTACCCTTTAATATTCAGCGGAAATAACTGGCCTTTTATGGAGTGTTCCTGGAGCTTTCCAGGTGTATTAAGTACTTCTTGCTCAGTGCTCCGTGACCTCTTCTATGTATCTTTGGTGTAACATTCATCACACTGTTCAGGAATTAGTCATTTACATTGCTGTCCTCTTGTTGAACAAGACACTCCTAAATTAGGATAAAGACCCTGTGTCCTTTTTTGTCTCTATATCTCCTGGACCTAGCACATTTACTGGCTGGAAAACTTCTTTATGATTTCAAAACCCCATCTCTGTAGCCCTTGACTGTCTTCTGTTGACAGATGACCAATGGCCTCACCAATCCCTAGTGTATGTTCCTTTTGTTACCAGAATCACCGGCCAATAGCTTGGGGAAGAGTTAAAAGTCAGAACTACAGAGAAAATAAATGGGAGAAACATAAAAAGCAATTCTCTATCTCAACACAAATAAAACACAGAAAGTATGCAGCAGTGTGCTATCTAATAGGTTCATGAAGGTAGTCATAATTGTTATTATTATAAAATATTTGCTGAACTTCAAAGGGGTTAGTCCCACTTTTTTTTTTTTTTAATGAGAAATTTGGAAGAAAAATTCCTTACAGTCTGGCTATTTTTCCAAATCAGTTGATCTTGACGTATCATCAATTGGCAAAAGAGATCTTTGGCTCGCTTCCTCTCCTTCCTTGTCTCCCTCCTCTTCAACACGTTCTGTTGGTTTGGCCAGTGAGCAGACTGAAAAGTCTAAAGAGAAGAGGCTTGAAATCAGGAGGTAATTCTAGCCAAAGGACTGAACAAAGAGGGTTTGGATATGGCCTCTGTTGTCACTGGAGCAAACAGGGAAAAGTAAGCAAGAGAGGAGACACTTGCCAATATGATCATCTCTGATTGGAAACCTCAGATATCGGGTCTCTGGTGTGCAGCAGACCTGGAGAGGCCCACCATGTGGAACACGTTAATGACATGAGGTTACCTAAGACTGCTTTTTTTAAATCTGTTAGACAATGAATTCATTTTTAAGAACCTTACGATAAAATTTTACAAAGCTAGGGTAGCATGATGATAAATAAGCAATGTATTGCTCACAATAAACTTTGAATAGACATCCAAGTGGCTGAAGGTGTTAATGGGTAGTTGGCAGAGACTCTTGTAAGAGAAGGTGAGGGTAGAAATGACTGGCCCCTGAGAAGGGAACTCAGACTGTTGCAGGTCAGAAATTCCGTGACCGGAACAGAAGAAACCAAAGGAAAACTGAAACCCCTCTGAGACCTGAGTCAAGAAAGGCACAAGCAGCTATAGAAACAATTCCCAATTCTCCAGTACTAAAGGATTCCTTTTGTCTGCAGTCTTGATTTTACATCAAGTTGCTTTTCTCAGTTTTAGGCTGGCTAGAATTCATGAAATAATGGTGCAGTAATAAAACATAGGGCAAAAATTTACTCCTTTATTTATTCATTCAGTGCATACAAATTGAGATCTGACTATGCAACAGGCAACAGACCTTAAGCACCAGGACACAGAGAAACATGGGATCCAAAGTAGACACACCAGTGGCAAAGAGAGTCATGGCACGCCACCAAATCCTGATATCTAGCACTAGTACTTTCTAACAATTAGATCTGTCTGATGAAGCTTAATGGAGTTTGAGGACAAATAAGATGTGGCATAGAGTAAACAAAAAGGATTAATTTTTCTAAAAAGAGATATGCTTTGAATATATAAATAGATTCGGGAAGTAGCTGGGATAAATCTATGAGAGGTGGATCCACAGCAAAACGTGGTGAGGGATGTGTGGTCTCAGTGATTATTTTTCAGTTGTCATGGCCCCTCCCCCACAACTCCACCACCAAAATGAACCTTCTGACAGACCCCTGGACTGAATGGACAGTAGCTGTGTCATATGTGGTGTCTTGTACAGGACGTTCTTAACAGCTAAGGAAAGTCTTCCTGATGAGGATGTGGAAAGTGTCTGTCACTGTCAGCATTTATTCACTGGTGATGGAACCAGAGAGTACAAGTTTCATCAGAGATTTCAGCCCAAGGTCAGAAAGAACTTCCTAACATCTATTAGAAAACTGAGTGTTTTCCTTGGGAAATACCCCAGCAGGGGCTGGATAACCATCCAAGATGGCATCCCAGGAAGAGGAAGTAGGTGGTACCCAAGAACTGTCCCAATTTTTAAATCTATGATTCTACAACTCAGTCTTCCAGTTGGATTTTAGATTTGGACAGATGCGTAAATGGTCACTGTCCTATATAGCATTGGCGGCTTAAATGAAATTATGAATACCTTTGCCACAGTCTTTTTGCCTGTTAGGAAAATGAAATCAAAGTTTTTCTATTTCCTGTATAAATATGACATGGGCAGTATATCAGTGTGTAACTGTTACTTCACAGTCATCTGTCACTTTATTGTGAAATGAGAAGGGACTGTTCTTTGTCCTTGAGCTAATATTTTGTCCCTCATTGGTACAATGTTCCTGCGAAGAATGGAATAGAAGGTGAAACCACAAAGGCCTTGCCATCTGTAGTGAGCCTCCCGTGCCATTACAGGGAATCCTAAGATGTTCTGATGGGTGGCCAACATTCCAGAACAAGGCAGTGAGATCCATACCTGACCTATCTCTTTCTTACATGCATCAAAGCTCGGCATGGCTTTATCTGCCTATCCTCTTATTATTCTGAACTCCCTAATTGCCTGGACTCTTTCTCTCCACAAATAGTTCCATGTACTGTATTCAGCATTAATGTAGGTGACTATGTGGACATGTCTTCTATTCCTACTTTTAACAGATTAACAGCTAATAAACACCATGCAACACCCTCTCTTCTCAACCTCTTCTAAAAATACAGAGTTTGATTTGCCAACATTGGTGTATTTAAAGCCTCCAAGATTCCAGGGAAGACTTTAGAAAGTTAACTGTGCAAGTAAAGCCTGTTCAGAGAGGAAATTTTCCAACACAAAGAGCAGCAGCTCATCTGAGAAGAACCTCAAGGTATCTTCTAGTCATTTGTAAGGAAAAGATATTTGTTCTCACTTAAAATACAGCTTCTCACTTTATTCTTGGTCTGCAGGAGTGAAGAGAACTCTGGAAATATATTGCCTAGGGAGGAAGACAGGCAGCATAAGTTTCATCTCAAGAGGGAATGCTTGTCTTTTGCAGGAAGGGACGCCATGTTACCTTCTAGTGACTTTGCAATGAAAGGACAATGCCACCTACTCGTCTCTACCCTCCTTGTCCATAGTCCCTGCACTTCTGCTCCTTCCACTTAGATAGAAGTGAAGCAGTTAGTTTTAAAGAAAAGTCAATAATCAGAAGCTTTAACAAAGTTAAAAGTTCAAAGCTTTAAACGAAGCCCCAACCAATACTCTGTTTTGAGGACATGGAATATCAGCAAGAATATGACCGAGATAACCTGGATAGTTATGTTGAATTGATGTCCATCGGTACCTCATATATATGATAGAGAGAATTTATTGAAGGGTAAGGTAGGCAGTGTGTGCATATTTTAATTAATGGAACCTCCAGTATCAATGAAACAGAAGCCTTAATGTATTTGTAAAATACTGGATGAAAGTTTCCTGAGGTCCAACGGTCTCATGTATGTGACCCTCAAACACCAGCTTGGTTATTAGATTATAAAATACAGATCAGTATTTAGAGAAATGTATTGGCCTTTTTGCGTGAGGTATAATTTCTGGGACAAAACCCTTTCTTTGCCTTCAGGTGGGCATTTTTTGTTGTGGCAGAAACTCAAGTGTATTTGCTTGCTTACTTCTCCTTTTGTTTATATTGCCCTGCTTGTCTCTGTTGATTTAAGCGATTTGACAGTTCCCTGGACTCCACATCCCCACTGGTGGAGTTGACTCTGGGGCAGGCTGTGTCCATGTACTGTGGTAATGATGATGATATTGTCCTGTGCTCGAGAAATAGTCAGTGCCACCCTCGGCTCGACTCTGGTCATGATATTAGTGACCTTGACCTTTAAAAATGCATAGTTTTTTTTCTGACTTTTCATGCAGACCAGACCTCCTTTGAAGAAAGCTCAGAGTAAAATTCCATCATAGTTATCACTTGCTTGCACATAATCTGAATTGGGTTAATTTCTTCTTCCTTATGCATTTCAGTGTCATCTGTTCCTTGTGCTCTTCTAGACTTAATTTCCCGGGCGGTGAGGGGGGTGATGTCTCTCAATCCTACGTATATACCACTTGTCAGACAAACCACCGCAGGATCTTTAAAAAGTCAGTGCGTTTCTTGGCATGATTTATAATTTCCTTCGTTGGCTTTTCTCTCCGCAGAACCGGACTGGAAGCCATCATGGAGACTTATGCGTTCTGGAGACCCCCTGTGCGCACACTCACCTTTGAGGATTTCACCACCATGCAAAAGCAGCAAGGTAACATCCTGGGCCATGGCTTCTTCTTAGTGATAGTGCCGGGGAGAGAGTGGGAGCGGAACTGAATACAGCACATCTGGCCCCAAGCCAAGCCATGGGTTACACCAGTTCTTCTCGAACGAAGAGTACTTGGTAGCTCTGTAAATAACCAAAGCATAACCACTTGTGCAAACAAGCTGGCTCCAGATGCAGCATCCTCTCCCCCTTCCAAAAAGCAGGGTTATGTTCATGATTATGATGGGGGTGAAATTATTATTTCTATGCCTAAGCATTCACATAGCCCTTGGTATTCGAAGAACTACTTCATGATAATTTCATTTATTCCTTATGGCAGCCTTATCAGTTTTCTTATTCTGGTTTTGTAGAGGAGAAAAAACTCAGTCCGAACAATGGGAATGAATTGCTTAGATCTGACAGTGAGGAGGGACCGCTGCAAGCCCATCTGAATTTTGCAACTTGGGCTCCCTCCTTTTTGGCTGAACACCTGGACAGACACAACACCTATCTCAAGTTGATGCGCCGGGTGAACATTTTCCTTGCACTGCTTTGTGCTTTACTTCCAGTTTCTCCCTTCTCTGGCAGCTCAGGGTGGGAAGCCTGTGGCCTTAGCACAGATGGCTTGTGGGCCAACCTCAACTCTTTTCCTCTGTCAGTGGCTCTTCCCAGGGCAGGACCCCTTTGCCTCGGGAAGCTTCCCAGAGTGTCAGACACTTTATGAGTCTCTCTCTCCAACCTCCTCCCGCCCCAAAGTGACACTGGTCAAAATTACAGACAGAGCTTACTCTGTTCTGTCACACAGCTGCCATTAATGGAACCCTAAGTTTTGAAATTGTGGCTCTGCCATATGGGAAACCCTTCTAGGACTTGATAATACATTATATTACATTCCCCTCCCAGAGGAGCTTCCAGCAGTTTGCACACTAAATTAGGTTTTGTAATCTAAATTATTGAAGTCTCTCAGGTTTTAAGATGAAGAAGGCGATTAAAAGGATAGGGGCTGGGGGCAGACCACTTGGGTTAGGCTCTTATCACTGCTCCTTCCTAGCTTTGTGACCTTGGCCAAGTCTCCCATCCTTTCTGACACTTAGTCTTCTCATCTGCAGAATGGAAGAATATAGTAGAATTCTTGTGAGGATTAAATGAGACAATGCATTTAAAAACAGAGTAGGCATGCACTACATGCTAGCAATCGTGGTGGCGGTGATGATCATTGTCATCACCATCATGACCACCACCATCTCCATTCCCTCATGTCCCTGTACATGGATACCTGAGAGGAAGATGCCTCAGGGACAAGAGATACTGCCTTTCTGATGATTAACTATTTAAAGCATGATTAGACCATTCATCTTCACAGGGATCTGGTGAGACAAGTGATGCAGAATTTCCTTCTGTTTTTTCTCAATAAATGGCCGAGAAATGGAAGCCCTCTGTATGAAGCCAACTTTCTCCTCATAATTCTGTGAGAGAAGCAGGCTCAGTACATATTCAGGGTGCTGCTTTTGCTCTGAGGCCCTCATGGCCCTTAAGAGGCAGAGGTGTTATGACAGTTGGGAGATCTGGGCCTTCATCTTTGATGGCCACTAACTCTCTCTATAACCTTGGCTTCTAGTGAGTCTGTTTCCTCACCTACCAAAGAAGGGTAACTTTTCGTGCAGTCATGTATATAAACATGCTTCATAAATGAAAATGGGTCATTTTCATGCAAAGACACTTGATCCTGTTTATTTCTGAGGTGGCTTCTTGCTTCTCTGCCCTTGCTTTACTCACTGACTGTCCAAGCTCGAGCTAAGCAGGCGTTTTGTATCATGGAGGCTGGTGTGAGAAGGTTTTGGCAGAGATATTGCCAGTTCCTGAGAGCAGGCATTGGTGGAGACATTGTGTTCACTGCTGTGCTCTCGAGAACTGTCCCTGGGCCTGGCAGCCAGGAAGTACCTAATGAAAGGAGGTAGGCAGGGTCACTGACACACGGGCCTGGAGCACAACCACCTGGTATGTGTGTGGATATGGATGTGGAGTGATGATTGGGGTTGACAGTCTGCATTTCACCAGCATGTGGGGTGGTTGAGCCAGTGTTGACTCTTAGAAAACAGTGGTTTAAGAGAAACTGAGCTTTCTTTTTTAAATTTTTTATTTCTTTTCTTGTATTTTTAAAATTATTTCTTTTTTTATTTTTGTTTTTAATTTTTTAAAAGATTTTATTTGTTTATTTAGAGAGAGAGAAAGAGAGCACGAGCAGGGGAGGGGCAGAGAGAGGGGGAGAGGGAGAAGCAGACTCCCTGTTGAGAGAGGAGCTCAACGAGGGGCTTTCTGGGATCATGACCTGAGCTGAAGGCAGATGCTTAACTGACTGACTGAGCCACCAAGCACCCCTATTTTTAATTTTTTTTAATTTAAATTTTAGTTAGTGAGCATACCGCGCAATATTGGTTTCTGGGGGTAGAATTCAATGATTCACCATTTATATACAACACCCTGTGCTCATCATAACAAATGCCCTCCTTAATACCCATCACCTACCTAGCCCTTCACCCCACCCATCTCCCTCCATCGACCCTCAGTTTATTCTCTATTGGTAAGAGTCTCTAATGGTTTGTTTCCCTCTCTCCTTTTTTTTTTTTTTTGCTTTTTCTGCTTTCCATATGTTCATCTGTTTTCTTTCTTAAATTCCACATATGAGTGAGATCATATGGTATTTGTCTTTTTTTCTGACTGACTTATTTCACTTAGTATAATACTTTCTAGCTCCATCCACATCATTGCAAATGGCAAGATTTCATTCTTTTTGATGGCTGAGTAATATTCCTGTGTGTGTGTGTGTGTGTGTGTGTGTGTGTGTGTGTGTGTATACAGTATCTTCTTTATCCAGTCATCAGTCGATGGACATTTGGACTCTCCATAGTTTGGTTATTGTTGATAATGCTGCTATAAACTTTGGGGTGCATGTACATCTTCAAATCTATATTTTTGCATCCTCTGGGTAAATGCCTAGTAGTGCATTTGCTGGGTCTTAGGATAGTTCTATTTGTAACATTTTGGGGAACCTCCAAACTGTTCCCCAGAGTAGCTGCACCAGTTTGCATTCCCACCAACAGTGCAGGAGGGTTCTGCTTTCTCTGCATCCTCACCAACACTTGTTGTTTCTTGTGTTGTTGATTTTAACCATTCTGACAGGTATGAGGTGGTATCTCATCATGGTTTTGATTTGTTATTTCCCTGATGATGAGTGATGTTCAGCATCTTTTCATGTGTCTGTTGACCGTCTGGATGTCTTCTTTGGAAAACTGTCTATTCATGACTTCTGCCCATTTCTTAACTGCATTATTTGTTTTTTGGGGTGTTGAGTTTGGTAAGTTCTTTATGGATTTTGGATACTAACCCTTTATCAGATATGTCATTTGCCAAGTATCTTCTCCCATTCAATAGGCTGGCTTTTAGTTTTGTTGATTGGAGAAACTGAACTTTTGAAGCAAAATGTCACACTTGTTTAGTGACTCCAGTTTAGTGTGTGGGGGGGGATGAACTTGGAATTACTGGATACATATGGTAGTGGGATTGGGGCTAGAGGAAAAGCCAAAATTCTATTAAATTGTTTAATTGGAATACATTTTTGAACTATATACTGAACTTGATCCAGATTCTCATTATTAAAAAATACGTGGCTTGGTTTCTTGACGTTAACAAAGGATGTAAAAGAAACAACATCCACCCCCCCTTCCCTTAAGAACTGAGAGTTCCAGTAACTCTGGACACTATCACTCATAAAATGAAGAAGAGAGACAGAGCCATCTCTGTTTTGTGTCTTAGAAGAAGTAGAGAGTGTTGAACTTCTAGTGGAAACTTCAGTGGCTGACTGAGTTTTGTAGTAATTCCCTTTTGGTGAAGAGAGTATTGGGAGCATTGGCACTAAACTTAAGCTCCACATGATTGACTCACCCAGGATCCATATAACCTCACCGCTTCAAACACATGAATATCTGGCATGTCACATCTGCAGCCCTGGGCCAGTTTTGTCCTCCTGCTGGAGGCTGGATCCACTCTTATGTCTGAGTGAGGTTAGGATGCTGCTTTTTTCACCCTGCCCTTGCTGTCATTTTTATTTCTCTTTCATGAAGACCCATTTGTTGATAAAATTTCAAGGAAATTCTTAGTTGAATTAGCCACTGTTTTGCCAAACCCCAGATCTTTCTATTTTAGAAATTATATTGAATGGGTAGTCTGTATGGTTGTTTTCTCCAATGGAGAAGATTGCATCATCCTCTGCCTTTACACAAGAATAAACCAAGGTACAGAGCGGTCTACTCACATGTCTGCAGCTAAGCAGTGGCAGAAGTGAGTTGAGGATTCCCAAATGGATCTCCATCTTGACGGGGCACTTGCCTTTCCACCCAGACCACATTTGCTTTCTTCATTCCTACTTACTAGAGCTTTAATTCGCCACAACATTTTTTTTTTTTAAGTTTACTCTTACACTTGATATTTTCTTGTCAACAACTTGAGCATTAACTCTAAATAGGTCAGTATCTTATTTTTATCAAGTCAAGTGTCTGGTCTTACCCTCAGAACTCTTCACTGAGAATCGGCAAGGGAGTTTATACGTTTGGAGAGTCTGGAGATAGGGATTATGTTTCCGGAGTGGCTTCTGCCTGAACACTGCTAGTGGCGGGGACAAAACGAACTAACCACGTAAGTGCTGCTTGGGGGATGTTGACTGAGGCAACACAGATGGAGAAGAAAAAAGAAATAAGAGCCCAGGCCAGTTATGGCCAAGTGCGGTTCTGTTGTTCTGATGGTATATATTGTAGAGCTACTTGTTTGGCCCAAACTCAGGGAGCTTCTGTGAGCACCATCCGTCTCCACAGGGTCTGACAATGGTTGTACTATAAGGAACCATCCTGGACCAGCGACACCAGAGCTGGCAGGAAATTTCCATCTACAGAAGTAAGGAGACCTGTCATTTACAGAAACCCTCCCTTCTCCTCAACTGGTAGCAGCCAAAACTAGAGGGATTTCAACACCACTGGGGCTTTTTAATGTTTGTCAGGCAGTTAAAAGGATGATGAACGTCTCTGTCAGTGTTGGGCCTTTTATAGGTTTGATTTGTAATAATTACAAATTATAATTTACAAGGTTGGCCCTTGAAAGGGATTAGATGCTGAGAAATTCATACCAGTAAAAGATAGAGAAGGAGGACAGTTCAATGGACAGCATGTCTTTGAACTACTGTTCACTATTGATCACTCAAACAATTCAGAGATAGCCACTTAAGCAGATCTCATTTATCACTGAGATCTGAAATGATGCCCGTGAGCAGCTCATGACAGGGACTGGAAGGCATCTCAATTCAGTCCACTAAAACAAACAGTTATTGATGACATATTCTATGTTGTCCCAAAGTCCCTTATGCTCAGTGTGTCCAAAGTTGAGTCCATGATTTACCTCACAGACTTGGCGCCCTTTCCTGGGGGAAGGACACCACTATCCACTCACCATCCTAGGTGTTTCCTTCCCTCTCTACCCACCATAGCCAACCAAGTTCTGGAATCCATCCACACCTCTAGTCTCCCTTGCCACAACCCTGCTCCAGGCTCCCACTTGACTTCATTCTCAGGCCCCACCCCCAGCCCGCATGGTGGTAACATAGCTGTCAACAGCCCTAGACCTCCATCTTCTTAAGTTTAAATCTGATGGGAAGGGTCATGTGCACCTCTTAAGTTTTCTAGCAAAATCTCCCTGAGTCTCATTGACTCTAACTGTGTTACCAATTAATGCTTGGACCATTCAGCCCTTAGTCACCTGCCTTCCCTGGTGGTAGGGGCGAAGGCCTGAGAGTGGGGAGGGGGTTTCTCAGTGGGAAGTTGGGTACTGTGGCCAGGAGAGAGGTAGATCAGCCCTAAATGGCAATCACAACCGATGTGTACAGGACAGCAAGGGCAGGCAGTAAAGCAAGTAGCAGAGAAAACAACCCAGTTAATGAAAGGGGAAAAGATGGGGCTAGCCCACCTGGGGCAGTGTGGCAGGTGTGAAACAGGGCCATCCAGGAAGCACAGAGGCTCAGAACCCCAGAGGACCAATGTGAAAAATGAGAATTGGGTGAATATATTAAAAGCTATTTTATTTTTATTTATTTATTTTTATTTTTTTTATTCTTATGTTAATCCCCATACATTACATCATTAGTTTTAGATGTAGTGTTCCATGATTCATTGTTTGTGCATAACACCCAGTGCTCCATGCAGAATGTGCCCTCCTCAATACCCACCACCAGGCTAACCCATCCTCCCACCCCCCTCCCCTCTAGAACCCTCAGTTTGTTTTTCAGAGTCCATCGTCTCTCATGGTTCGTCTACCCCTCCGATTTCCCCCGCTTCATTCTTCCCCTCCCGCTACCTTCTTCTTCTTCTTCTTTTTTTTTTTCTTAACATATATTGCATTATTTGTTTCAGAGGTACAGATCTGAGATTCAACAGTCTTAAAAGCTATTTTAAAAGGATCCATGTATATCTTTAAACTTCATGGAGAAGGATGCATTAGGAGTCTTTCTAAGATTGAAACCACACAATTCTTATTAGCACTGCAATGTTACACATCTGCATTTTGATAAGGGTACTCATTTCAACTAAGGGTAATTCCTTAGTGGGGATGGACAGGGCTGTGATCATGACCATTGATGTTATGGCCTCTGGGTTTGTTCCCTGGGTTGAGTCCATAGGGTGCTGACATTTTACTTCTTATCTGTTTGAAAGCCTCAAAGAAGGCTGCTCAGGGACACAGTGATTCCATATTCTTCAGGGACACATGCCACCAAGTTATATGAGAGAAGAGTCTGGCTGATGGAACCAAGTAATTACATGGAAATTTATTCTTTACTAGCCCAAATGGGGTATTGTTTTTTACTGTTTTTCAATTTTGAGGGGGAGGGGAATAGAGCACAACAAAATAAACCCAAAAGGAAACTGTATGTGAAAGCCTTCATATTACAGTCTGGAAGTGATCAATTTAAAGATGCAGAAGTCAGCAGGTTTGGTATTCAGGATTTTCATGGCCACATTTAACTTGTCTTCATGGTATACAAGTATATTCTAGGTTATTGTCCTCATATGGAAGCACTGCTAAACATGTATTCTTTTTGGTTAGTTTGGCCGTGAGCCTTGAATATTGGAACAGGCTAATGTTGAATATGAATTTCAATGAGTACCTCCTCACTTGGGTCCATGGGTAAAACAGGATACAGGGAGGTGGGGTGGACAGGGAATTGGTCCTGGAATACCAGAGAGTTTTCAGCCACTTAGGGCATTACATTTTAACTCACCTCTCAGAAGTGGATTAAGACCTCTGAGGACAGTGGGAAAGACACCAACCTGCCTATTTGTGTTCAATTCCACTTGCTTGGTCTGAGAAGAGATAGAGACATGGGGCATTGAATTTCCATTCTGGGCAAGGGTGAGAGGAGAGGGAAAGATAGTCCAGAGAGGAAATAGAGTTGGCTTAGCTTTTGGGAAGATGGGCTTAATGGGCCCATAAGTGGTCAAGGGCCCAGCGCTCTATCATTCACAGCCATGGAGGCTCCTCCAGCCTGTTACATCCAGGCATCTAGCTGTGACATATGCTCACCAGTGCGCGGGGAGGCCAAGATGCTCAGCTCCATGGACAGAAGCCAACACCTGAGAGCCTCTCCATCAGAACCCTAATGCCCTAGGATTCCTTTCTCCTTCCTTCCCTCCTTCTCCACTTATAGAAGGGAAGAGAAGAGGAAACAATATTTACAATGTATTTAACATTGACAAATATTTAATGCCTATGTGCACTTTGTATTATATGTTATTTCATCTGTTTCTCAAAATCCCTACGAAGGTAGACACTCAAAATTCTACTTACATAGAGAGGCCTCACTTGCAAGATCCTATACTCAGTAAGAGAGCCGGGGAATCCAAAACTCTACAGTCCTTGCTCATCTATCTAAGGTTTAAATCAAGACCCTGAGAGCATTCAGAACTTGGCAGTACAGAAGGGATGAGGTGAGAATGTTATGCAAAAAAGGGAGGTAGGCTTTTCCTTTGAGAGGCAGCTCAGACCCCTCTGTAGCACTGTGGCCAGGCCTCCCACTCTGCCCTAGCTCTTCTGTGATGTGAGGCCTCAAGGCAGCCCAGTGTTGAAAAGCACAGGGAGGGCAGCCTGCCTCCTTAGGCTTATTTAGCACTTGGTTGGTACTCCCATTCTTGTTTAACAGCCGCCAAGCTGAGAGATCATAAGAGAGTAACGACTTCTCAGTATCTTGGTTTGCTTCTCTGCAAAATGCGTACCATAGTCTTCTCTTTTTATGTGGACCTTGAAAAATAGCTATTATTTGAATCAAGTGCTTAAAGTGCATAAGAGCATTTCTTCAAACGCTAGTTCATGTGGGGGCTCCCACCCCCTGAAACGCAGCAGGCCACCAAGTCTCATTTCCAGTGAGTGTCAT